AGAGAGAGAGAGAGAGAGGAAAACCTAAATAAAAAAAAAAAAGAACTTGAATCAGACCACACCAAACTGCCAAAAAACGGCTGGTCTATGATGGTTCATCGCCGAACTGGCATATACCACCGAGTATGTAAGGGCTGGCCCAACTGATTCATTGTTGAACCAATATATACCACCCGGTATATAAGTGTTGGCCCATGCCGGTTCATCATTGAACTAGTACATACTTCTTATCCAACTTTCCCCGGCATCATCAATGATTCCATATCACCACGAGAATGGTTTGCAATACCGTACCGTACCACTTAGTACAGGTGGTATGTAACGATCCGATAAAGAACCGGTATGGGTAGTACATCGGTACACCTTAGTGTACCATGTGTCAGTATGCTCGGTACATACCGTACTGACAGCTGATCGGTATACCGGTACAGTACGGTATTCAGAACCTTGCATGAGATGACACTTTTTGTTAAACCATAAAGCAATATGTTACAAATTAAACTTGCAATCTTTAAAAAGTTAAGGGAAACAGGTTGGTCATATTTGTGCCTCAATAATAATAGCAAAAACTATTCTGATAAAGGACAGCTGAATGGCACCTTAGTCAAAGAATAGCACATAAGTAGAAATATCTCATCATTAATACATCTTCAAGCTACCACAGACTTAAACAAACATAAATGGAGAAGAAAAAGAACAAAGAAAATCACCTTACAGATAAGTTCTCCTTGAAATCCTCCTGCCACAAGCAACTTGTCTTTAACGGCCAGCGTACTAACTTGGATCTGAGAAAATCCTTCCAACAAGCTTCCTGGGAGCCTCTGCAGCCAAAGACAAGAACTTGTGTACGCTTAGCTTTGAAGTGAATCACAGATCAAAATGTTACAAGTAAATATATACAGTTATCAGAAATCATCAATCAAGCACATTAAAAAAAGGATAATAGATGAAGAGAACACACCTCCTCTGGTGCTATGTGTCCCGAAACATTCATAACTTCATATTTCTCACCGCTTAGTGCAGACCAGTGAAGCACAGACGAGTTTGACATTAAGTACACATCATGCTTTGATGTAGCCCAAACCAAATTTCTCAGCTGCAGTTTTGTAATATATTCAAGCCAGGTAAGTTCAATGTTTGGTACCAAACTTCAACAATAATAAGAACAATAAACAGAACAAAACCTAGGATCATATGATGCAATAAACTAACAAAGTCTCTCCTGCATAGAGTTAAACAGCCTAAAACATTAAACTTTTCAAAAGCATACTGTCCAGGATTTATATAGATGGACATAAACAATTAAACATATTCAAGGAACAGTGAGAAAGCAAGGTCATCTTCAACATGCCAGCAACAATCATATTTCCAACATGAACTATGATACTTCCACATAGCACAATTGCATGATTTTGGAGTTTCTTTTTTTTTTTTTTCTCCAATTGCTCTTACTATCCAGGATGATTGACATCAAACATATCTCCCATAATCCAACAGCAAGTTGACATGGATGCATATCTGGATGAATATGGCATTATGCAGTATGACTTCTAAGTCAGGTTCTAAAAAGTTCACCTATAAAGATATTGGCAAGTTGGATAAAGTACCATGCAGGGTCATCCACAAGAACCAGCAACTTTCTTATTCTCTTATGAAAAAGAAAAAAAAGGAACGGGCAGCTTTTATAAAACTAAATACCTGTGTGATGAGCATTTGTCCAATAGTTATGTCCTAGCTTGCATTGGATAGGATAATAAGAAGCATCATTTATTTCCAACTAGTCAAGGTTGCCATTTAGCCCCATGGAAGAAAATGTCTTTCATAATACCTTGCCTTTGTTTCTTAACCAGGTCATCATCATCTTTTTCAGAATCTTATGGAAACTCTAGTTAAATTGTCTGTGTTCTCCTTATAGTTGCGCTCAAGTCATTTTGGTATAAAAACAACAGAAACGCAACAATAAACTTCCATCAATCATTTGGCACTCACTCGTTTTCAGAATTTTATTAAATAAGTTTGACATTAACCCTCTATGTCTGAAAATCCTAAAGGATGTGCAGCACCAGTTGCCTTATTTTCATCTATGCATCTTCATCATTTGACAATAACTTTAATTTCCAACCTTGCAGTATGGCCAAGATCTAATTATGCTGAAAACTTGATTAGTTGATCCTACTCAATAACTAATTAAACTAATTCCTCCATCTTTATTAATTTATAACTTATTTCAACTTTTATGATATTTCCTAAATCATTACTTTATTTTTACCTTTAGCAAGCCGCCCTCAGTTTCGATGCTCAAATTATTAAAACTAGCAACATAAGCTTCTATTCAAGCATTATTGCATGGAACTGAATTATAGATCCACTGTTCCAGAACCAACTCCCTATTGGTGAAGCTATTATTGTCAGACTGTTTAATGAATTCTCTTTAATGCAATTAGACACCTCATCCTAACGAAACCCTCATAATATAATTAGTGACTAACTAGATTCAAATCAATAGAAAGGTCAAACCCAGATAAAAATAGAGCAAAATATAATTAACAAAATAGCAAAAGGTATTAAGAACCACAGGTATAAGCCCAACAATGTACCAAATACACTCACCTGAAAATGAAGAATAGTTGATTTCACAGACCTTGTGTTTCGCTGGAACTCATAATAAATGCCACCTTTATCAGTTGGTTTGCAATCCTACATACATGATGAGCACTTGAGCATATAAAGGAGTGTAACAATAAAATGCAAAAACTAAGCTATTAGTTCATCAAAGCTTCATGCCTTTTCTGATGCTTCTCCAGAATTTGTAACATTTTCATAGTTTTTGTATTGTTCTAATCTGGTTTGCCTGTACCTCTCCCTTGTAATGCTTAGTGTACTCCATGGTATTCCTTGTATATCTTTTCCTTTCCTAGCTTGAGCGGAGGAAATATCAGATGCCCTTCCGTTCTAACAAAATCGAAATTTCTTCCCAGTAAGTCATGAACAATAATCAGAAACAGAAACAATTTGAAAACAATAACAGCGGCAACCCAAGATATAATGATGAGAAGACCATTCTTAAAACTATTAAAAATATACATCCGCGAAAGGTGGTTACAGAACAGATAATAAAAATCTCTAGAAGAAAAAACAACTTTGAAATAATGCTGGAAGAGAGATAAGCACACCAAAGGGCCATATTCTTCATCGTCAGAATCAGAATCGCCCAGACCCCTCCCTTGAAATTCTTCATACATGTCATCTTCTACATCACCCATGTCATAATCCTCTGCCATTTCATCCATATCATCACCACGATGAGGCTGCATTTAGTCTATGCCTCTGCCAAATCAAATTTCAAGTAAGATTGTTAAAGAGACTTTTCAACACTTCAAAAGGAAAAAGGGAAAATGTCCACTCATTCAGTTTGAATTTTAAAAACTTCTTGTGATCACCAAGATTCTAGCATTATTCCACAAAATGCCAATTTCATGAGATGCAACTTTATTCTCTTTGTCTTTCTTGGTCTATTTGAAGAAAAATTGTGAATAACATTTAGATAGCAGATTATGCATCACTCCTAAAGAAGAGATCCTGATATCAATGCCTAATGCTCATTAATAACATGAAACAAAATAAACAATAGTAGTAACTAAGAACTGGAATTAGCAGCTTAGTAGAAAATAAATACAAATGAGCATTAAATTACCTTAGACAAAAAAAATACTACTATCCATCCAGTGAACCAGGAGAAATCACCTAACACTACCTCATCACCTAATATGCAATAAACAGACATTACAAAACAATATATCCCAAAAAAAGAAAAATCAAGAAAAAGGGACCTGTCAAATCTTTCGCGGTTACTCACTATACCCAATAAATTAATTATTCATTTACAGAAATCATTCTCATAGAAAGGAAAAAATCGTATAAAGAAAATTTATAAAAATGAAGGGTGTAGCATAACCTAATTCCAAAGCTTGGTAATCTAACAAAAAAGGATTGCAAGGATTCAAACGAATAAGGTGTGTCAAGCCATTATATGAAATCAAATACAAGTTAACTCCTTTCTTGAACGCATTTATCCAACGAGAAGCCAACCGAGAACGGAGAGTAACAATAAGAAGTGAAAGTCTACAAGCAAACACCCAATCAAGGCCGCTGGCATGTAGACAGATCAGATCATCCAAATCCAAACAAAGATCAAGGGCCTTTTTGGCGTCCGCACCTATTTTAGGGTTCCGGAAGCCTTGAAATCTCGGTCGAGGCGATGATTGACATCAACGTAGGTCACGAATCCGAAGAATTGGACGCCTTCCGGCCGGAATCGGAACGAATCGAGGGAGACAAATATGACCGGCTGAGGGTTACAGTTTTTGTCTTTTTTTGTTGTTGTTATTGTTCTATTTATTTCGACGAGAAACAGAAAGCGAGTGAGAGATGTATTGGTCGGTATAAGGTACCGATTCGGCCGTCTGCGTTCAAATTACGGGATTGCCATTCTTGGGGTCAAAATAGTAATAGTATGTTTTCTTTTTTTTTTTTTTTTTTTTGGAGATTACTATTTACCACCTTTTTGGTTATTTACAAATATGAGCTTAGCATTTAAAGTCCCTTCTCACTAATTATTCACAATATTTTACTATTTATAATTTTTTAAAAATTAATAAAATAATATTTTATTATTCATGACATCTCTAATTTTGCTTTTATTCTTTTTTTTTTCATTCCCCATAGCCTCCATATTTGATCTAGAAGATGATATCTTTTATGCTATTACAGAATGTACATAATTATAAAAATATTAAATTATTATAATAAATATCAAATTTATTTCTCTGTCTCATCTTCATCATTTATCTTTTTTTTGACATTTTAGGTCAATTCCATGTTAGGATGAAAAGAAAAGGAAGGGGAAAAGAGAAAAAAAAAAGTTATAGGGTCAAAATGAAAAGATTTTATTAAAATTAAGTTATTAATTGAGAGCATATATGTTTATGTACAAACAGATAACTTAAGAATATTCAAAGTTTTAGGATTATAATAAATAACAAATAAGTTACAAATAATAATCTTCTATTTTAATAATTTTTAATATTTCTAAGTTGCTCTTTATAAATTGATATTTATGCTCTCAATTTATAACTCAATTTCAATAAAAAAAAATTTCCACTCATTACCTACACTTTTCTTTCTCTTTTTTTTTTTTTTTTTCCTTCTTCTCCTCCTCTCAGCCATTGAAAATAACAAAAAATAATAAAAAATATAAATAATGAAATAGGACAATCTAAACATCAAAGAGGAGATAAGAAGAGCTATGATAGTAGTGTGCTGAGGTGAAAATGAAATTAAATATGTTATAAATAGTAAAATGTTATTTTTATTTATTTTTTAAGGAATTATGAATAGTAAGAAGTGGACTCTAAAAAAAAGCTCTTGTTTGTTTTCTTTTTGGGTAAATTTTTAGAAAAAGCTTTTAGTTCTAAGAAATTTTTATAGAGCGCTCCCATGTCCAAAAATTTTCATAAAGCACTCCTCTTTTCATAAAAGGTAATTTTGCCCTTACCTCCGCCTTTACGCACCATCACCTCTGTCTTCACCCTTGGTAGCCTCCGCATGTGGGTCTCTAGCCATCTTCGCATATAAGCCCCTTGACCCTCTGCTTATTGTCCTATTCCACTCTTGACAACATTCACACACGACCCCTAGAGGGGGGGCCAAAGGCAATGATGGACAAGTATCAAGTGGTGGCCTGCATAGTTGTCAACATCATGGTACTATAGTGGTTACTTAAGCTACCGAGGGATTATTGTGCAGGCACTCAGTTAGTTGGCATGGTTGAACCCAACAACACCTCATGAGGTGGCTTCGACATATCTGTTTGGCATTAGGGATAGTAAGAGGAAGACAAGAGCGAACGAGGACAATAAGCAGAGGGTGAGGGGTAACGCACAGAGATATAAGTAGTCATAGGCAACATAATGGCAAAATTACTTTTTAAAATTAATTTTTTTCAAAAAATTACCCTTATTTTTTGTGTGTGTCAGATTTAGGGCTGATTACATGCGCTAATTAAACTCTAATTTTAGTTGGTGAATTCCACGTATAAATAATAACTATAATTAAAGTGGTATTCTCAATACTCACTATATAATTAGTGGATTAAGCTCTAATTTTAATTAGTCAATTCCATGTAACTAGAAATTAGAGACTCATACTTTTTATGATTATCCAACATGATCTAGAAAACAGAGTTACCTTACTACATATATAACATGGATTTTGTGAGCTACGAATTAGTCTTATGTCATTTGTCGTATAACTATTTTAACTATACGAAGTCAATTTTATATTATATTATCCAAAAAGTATTTGCCTAGATGTCTTCTCGAGTTTACGCCTTGGTGTGATGATGATGAAATCGTTCATGCATTCACGTTCACTAACTCATTTCTTTTCCTTCTCACTCTTTTCAGTACTACACAATGTTACAAGACGAACCATTGATTCACAAAATTAATTATCATACTAGTTGAAAAGTAATAGGATCAAACCAATCTAAGTGTGATGAACGTCTTTGGGTTACAATTAAAGTATAAAAATTTGTAATATGCTGTATTAAAATATGAAAATAACCTTTATTGTCAAGATTGAAATCAAATACTTAGATCTAGTTTAACGATGCATACCTTTTAATGTCAACGATGGTTTATGGAGAGAATTGAGGAGAAAACTATAATCTCTCAATTATGTTCGTAGTGAGACGGAGACGTGCGTCTGTGCGTGCCCTCAGTCCCTAGAGATCCTATTTATTTATAGACGAGAGCAGAAGGTCTAGAATAAGATATTAGGGGTCAAACCATCTAAGTATGATTCTATGATTGAACGTCTCTGGGTTACAATCCTGGCAAAAAAATAGTATTTTTGTCCATCATTCATCTCTCATCCCATAAGTTATAATCCTAACTATAACAATGGTAGAAGAGTGAAAGTTTTCTAGATAATTTAATATTTCTAAGTACTGAATATATTTAGTAAACAAGGAGTTAAATATGTGGTGAAAGTAGTAAAAATACATCAAGTATTTAAAAGTTTAATATGCTGTAGAATTTCTTGGTAATCATTGTTATTATTTATGTTACATATGTTACATTAAAATATGAAGAGACAAGGATGATATTTCCAGCCGTAGACAAGGATAGCTATGGAAAACTACTACTACTCAGTGCTCGTCCTTGGAAGAATCATGATAGGCTTCAACCATTGCAGGTGATGTGGTGATGGATAAGCATGAAAAGAAACCCTACCAAAAAGCTGTCTCCGTAGACGTTGGTTTTTCTTGTCTGCAACTCCTTTTCTAACACTTTTTCTGATTCCTTTCGCCATTTGCTTTGTGGTCAGCTCATTTCAGGATGGTGAGGCTGACGCCACCGTCCTTTGGTGGCATATTGTGTCGTAGTAGTCTTTGGAGTAGAGAGGAAAGACACGATAACATGATGATCTCAGAGCTTGTTGATGCTGACTAATCTAAGAGCTAATTGAGCTACTTAGATCTTTATTATAGCCGAGTATGATCTCTATAGGTTTCCTTCGGATATGTTTGTGGCATATTAAGTCATCCTTTCTAATTATACATCCATCTCATACTAAGAACATGAAATACCATACAGGTGATGTTAACATCAACTAAGCCTCAGTTTTGAATGTATCTATTCAGCTTGTTTTAGTCATATTATTGGCATTTTGCTTCTCACTATATGTGGGGTTTTGGTGTGAATTATAGATCTTCCAACAATTTCAGCAGTCAAAAAATTGTAATAGAATTCTATGATGATACAGAAAGGTATGCATTACTGTGAACTATGGAAGGTTTGAGACATTTCTTTTGTTCATTTTATGTGTGCTGAGACTAATAAATTCTAGTTGAACAATTAATGGTATGATGAGAAAGATTAATGTGTTTATACATAGAATATTGTATCAAAACCATTTCTGTGCTTGTAAAAATCATAAACCAGACATCTAAAATATATGAAAAGAGCTAAAATAATCACCTGCAGTTTCAAATCTCACATTTATTTTGTCTTCTACAACTTTCTAAGAAAACTGAAGAGTATAGTTGAAGGTAACATCACAATCTTATGCCCACTAATTGAGGAAGATTCTCTTCCAAAAAGGGAGGAATTTTCTAGAAAGACAAGCACAAATCATACTTTTGCCTAAACTGATGCAGACAGCTTGTTATTTAGGGATGTCCAAAAGGAATAGTGATATAGATCTTAATACACAGTAATCAGAACATTAAGGATCCATCTTCAAATTAATATATTATACAAACTGATCACACCTACACTTTTTACACAGCTTAAAAATGTGAATGAGAAGATTGGCCTGAACAAAATAGCAATTGATGCAAATGCAGAGCCACAAAAATGTAACCCAAGTTTGTGAAAGGCCTTATTCATCAAGAGGAACCCATTCTAGTACTAGTTGGATCTCTCCACACTCCACATTCTGTAGCTTTAGGAACACCTCTTGTTTTATCTTCCCATCAACTATGTTGACAGTGCTGTCCTTGATGAGTGCATTGTCGCTTGTTTTGAACCACCTGCCAATCTGCATGTTTTCAAGAAGCTCAGCATCCCCAAAAGCCATTGCAGCTGTGATCATAGGCTGGAGATCAACCTCAGCCTCGCCCATTTTGTCATCAGCAGAAAACATGTCGTGGTCGTATACTTGCTGTTTGAGAAGCAGAATAAAACAGGTTCATTTTAAGACAGACACAAGGCCTACTAATACTACAATAGTTTTTAAGTTTCCATTAGAACTGGTAGATCTGAGTATTGAGAAGATGCAAAGTGCAAGTCATACGAAACTTAAGACAAATACAACTTATTTAGAAACAAAATGATAATAAAAAGCAAAGATGTCACTTATAAAGG